CGACGTTGTACTATTATGGCGTCAGCCTCTTTTGTTAGTTAAAAATATGTTCAGAACCGATGGGATGAGTCACTTAAAATATGTTTAAAGTTAGAAAACACTCACCATCTTCTATAACTGATTCAAGTAGAGCAGTAGTCGTGTCCAAACCACCCTCCAATCCTCCATCTAGCTCGCTTTGACTTTTTTCGTCAGCCACCAAGCACAACAACACCTGCACTTCTGCATTTGACCACGGCTTTGATATTATTGTTGTTGTATAGCTTCAAAATACTAAAAGTTACGCTCCTCAAGTTATCGCTAATAGCAAGCGGGAGAGAAAAAATGGCGGATCGGGTTGTTTGGAAAGACTCCACAGACTCCTCCTCACGACCAATCAGTGACCGACAGTGTTTCTGACATCACGGCTCGGCTCACTTGGACCCCTTGAGAAGCGGGGCCAGAATTTAGGGAGGCAATCCGGAAATATCCGACCCACGCCGTGACAGTGGAAAAGGGGCAAAACAGACCACAGTCAGTGAGGATCCACAACTTCTCCTCCTTCACCATAACCCTCAGCACTGGCTCCCCTCAGGGGTGTGTACCGAGCCCTCTCCTGTTCACTCTGCTCACGTATGACTGTGCACCTACCCATCCAGGCTGTCACAGTTTAAAGTTTGCAGATGATACAGCACCTCAAAGACCTCAAACACACGTCAAGCTGGAAATATCCGACCCGCGCCATGGCAGTGGAAAAAGGGCATATGTCCACTCAGCTAATCAACTCATTACTCGAAACATATGGTGTGGCTGATGTGTAGTGTTTCCACGTGCTTGATGTGCCATACACCCCTAGTCCACCAGAGCACACCTGTGATGAAGTAATTAGTCATTAGATGTGGAAAAAGCATTTGACTGGGTGGAGTGGGACTACCTCTTCAAGGCTTTAAAGTTATTTACATTTGGCTCCAAATCCATATCATGGGTGAAGCTGATTTATACCTCCCCAATGGTTGTAGTCCGCACTAAGTGTAACATATCCTCCTATTTTGAATTTCAGTGTATGAGACAGGGGTGCCCATTTTCACCACTTCTATTTGTGTTAGAGATAGAATCACTGATGGTAACTTTGTGGCAGAACTCTACCATTAAGGGGATAAGTCAATTAGGTAAAGAACACAAAGTGTAAAGTCGTACTTTTATATATTTATCAGACCCTCTTACTAGCATCCCTGAATTACTTACTTTGCTTAAAAAGATTTGGGAATATATCTGGCTATAAGGTTAAACTTCAACAGAGCAAACTGATGCCTGTGACCTCCATAGGAATGAAAATCTTGGACACCATACACTTTAAAATTTGTTTAAAATATTTAAGTACCTTGGAATTTTGGTGACTCTAGACCATAAGAACCTCTATAAAACCAATTATCTACCTCTCTTGGACAACCTTAAACAGGGCATTGCTAGATGGTGAAATATATTTCTATCAGTATTATATTTTGTTATGTTATTGAAAGTCGTGTATACCTACGGTCTGCAATATAAATGCATATTAAACCGATGCAGAACCTTTGTTTCCGGGTTTTTGTTTTCCGGTAGGAAGGAGTTTTAGTTACACGCCTGCACTCTGCAACAATCCTGACACTTGGTTGTTTACATCAATGATGGAAGTATTACTGGCTGAGAGGCTGGTCACATGGTAAGAGTAGGCTGTCCTATTAGCGGAGATGATGACACCAAGGGGTGTGACCAGTTTCTGAAGAAAAGTGTGGTGCACGCTGTTAACGGGGCGGCTGTTCATGAGAAAGAGGGCAGACGTCATGTGAGTTTGTGGCTTCCACTTACCTGTACAATAAACCTGCAAATATACTGAGCACATTTATTTCAGAGCCTGCTTCAGACCTTAGAATTACGTTTCAATGGCATTTCATACCTCACACTTTGGGAAGCAGAATAAACTCTGTGTAAATGAATGTCATACCTAAATTCTTATACCTGTTTCAGATTCTGCCAATCTTTCTTACTAATTCCTTCTTTATCAATCTGAACAACCATATATCAGCATTTATTTGGAATAAAAAGCATCCACAGATAGCCAGGAGGGTCCTGCATATGTCCCATAGACTTGGAGGCATGTCGCTTCCTAACTTTCTGCTCTATTATTGGGCAGCTATTATCAGAGCTCTTTTATTCTGGTTGGGTACGGACATTCCTTTTCCTAGTTGGGTGGCCTTGGAAAGAGCCTCAATTAGATCCAGCTCTTTTTCTGCATTACTCTGCTCTCAGCTGTCCTTTAGACAATCATTATCAACCTACACTTCTAATCCAACTGTGATCTGGGCAGTTAAGAGTTGGAATCAGTTCAGGTGTGAATTTAACTCTACAGAGTGTTTTTGGCACCTGTGTCAAATAATCATGTTTACTCCCTCAGTAGCTTATACAGCTTTTGACACCTGGGTCTTAAGGGGAATGCATTCATTGTGTGATCTCTATGTTGATGATAGATTTGCGTCTTTTGTACAGCTAGTACAAAAGTTTATATTCACAAGTCACAATTTTTTAAATATCCTGCAGCTAAGACATTTTGTGAGATTTAACTCTGACTGTTTTCCTTTGTACCCCTTTAAACATTTTGTGGCTAAGATTTTGGAGTGCAGGTCTGATACTAAGGGGAATTTCAGCAAAATCTATACACTGCTCACTTCATATCATGAATCCAGTTTGGACTCCATTAAACTGAAATTCAATTCAATTCAAAATTGAAATGGGAAGCGGACATGGAGGAACCCATATTAGACTCAGTCTGGGGAAGGATCATTAAGAACATTCACTCATCTTCAATCTGCCTGAGACATGCTGTAATCCAATTCAAGGTAGTACACAGGTTGCACTGGTCCAAAGACAAGCTGTCCAAGATCAAGGCCGATCTGGACCCAGCATACAATCATTGCAAACAGACTCCAGTTACACTTCTGCATACATTCTGGACCTGTCCCAAACTACAGACCTTTTGGCAATCTATTTTTGATACCTTGGACGGCTGTGGCTGAGTGGTTACAGCAGTCATCCTCCAATGCTTTTCAATGTTTTTGTCTGTCCAAACAGGTCTCACTTGTAAATGAGTCTTAGAGGCTCAATGTGATTTATCTGTTTAAATAAAGGTTGAATGAATGAAAAATGTGAGAGTTGGGGGTTCCACTCCACCAGCAGTCACATGCTGAAGTGTCCTTGGGCAAGATACTGAACCCCTCATAGCCTCTGATGTGTCCCATCTGTGTATGAATGTGATAAAGCACTGATTAGTCTCTTTAGAATGATTTGTTCAATTAGCTTTGTAGAGATCTAGTAGAGTGCTGTATGCTGAATGGGTAAATGAGGCACAGATTGTAGTGTAAAGTGCTTTGAGTATCTTGAAATAAGATAGAAAGGTGCTATATAAGTACAGTCTATTTACCATTTACTTTCTCTGGAAAATGTGGGAAAACTGTTCACCCATCCCCCCTCAGCTCACTGTTCGGGGTGGTCCCTGCAGATACGTCCTTCAGCAGATGAGAGAAAGATGTGATTGCTTTTGTCTCTCTTCTGGCCAGGAGGCTAATTTTGTGCAACTGGAAGGACCCACATCCCCCAGCATATGTACATTGGGCAAGGGAGGTGATGTACCACATTCATCTGGAGAAAACAAGGTACACCCTAAAAGGTTCTGTGAAAAGATTTTGGGACATTTAACACCCTTTATGTTTTTTGTAGAATGTATGTCAGTATCCATTTAGTTTATTTATGTATTTGGTGCACATCCAGTGATTACTGAGATTTTCATTAAAAACTATCCCAATATATTTTGCTAACACTACAGACAGATAAATAAAACAAACAAACAAAGGTGCCATTTTTTTCATTGAAAAACACTGACAGAAATCTTCACAGCCACTAACTGACACATGACCTAGAGTGGAGAGATCTCTGAAAAAAACACTGATTAACTTTTGGAGCAATTTTGGTTCAAGATGGCTACCATAGCTACCTCATAAAACTCAAAATTGACTATAACTAAGCCATTCTTTGAGATAATGAGCTGAAATTTGGTTTGGTCGTAGCAGAGAGAGAGTCGTTCTACATTCCTGATGAAAATTGTGAAATTGCAAAATTATCTTATTTCTTATATTTTGTATTGTTTATTAACATTTAGGAATTTTTTGTGAAATCTTTTTATCTTTTTACCTGTTGCTGCTGTTGCACTTGAATTTCCCATCCGTGGGACAATAAAGGCTGTTTCTATTCTATTCTATTCTAAAATTAAAACTCCAAGATAGCCACCTTAGCTAAAAGGGAAAAAGTATGATATCTCAGCTATTTTAAAATGTACTGTGCTGAAATCTGGAGTAGTGGTACCTGACAGTGATGCACAACCCATTCTGAAATCAAATCTTATAATGCAAGATGACTGCTGAAGCTAATTTCACATGGATGTATTGCAGATATTTTTTTGAGCTATTCGCAGAGATTTGGTGTATCGGTAGCTGAGAACAATCTCCAATAGACTTGGATTGCAAATCAGAAATCCAAGATGGCTGCCTGAGCTAAAAAAGAAAGTTTAGTATAAATCAGCCATTTTTTTAGAGCTATTAAGCTGAAATTTGATGTGGTGATAGCTAAGAACAATGCCCAATAAATACTGAATTCAAATAAAAAAAATCCAAGATGGCCTCCAAAGCTACATTTAAATGGCTTTAACTCAACCATTTTTATACATACGGCGCTGAAATTTGTTCAGGTTATAGCTGAGAACGTTTCCCATCACTAACTGAATCCAAATCCAAAAATCCAAGATGGCCAGCATAAAATAAAAAATTGACTATAACTCATTACTTTTTTGCTATATTGAGCTGAAATTTGGTGTGATGGTAGCTGAGAGTGAACTCCAACACACAGTACAGTCAAATCACAATTTAAAACCGGCTGTAACGTAGCAATCCCCATCAAAATTTCTGCAGGAACTTTCTGGTTTGTGTTCTCACCCTGTAATAATCTGTGCTGTAAATGTCTCTGGACATGCCAAAATCTCCTATTTTCACCAGAAGGCCATTGCCCACCAAGCAGTTTCTTGTTGCCAGATCACGGTGGACAAAGTGTTGAGATGCCAGGTAGATCATCCCGGCAGCAATCTGACTTGCGATGTGGAGCATTTGGGACAGACCCAGCTCCCCATTGGTTTGCAGAGGCTGTCCATCAACCAGGATCATGGCATCAGGCCCATGAGCTCTGTTAAAGAAGGTGAAAAAAAAAGCATATTTATGTTCATTAGCTGTTACAGTAATTGCATTTTCCCTCAAGACATTACTATTGTTACATTAGACACCTGATCCAAAAGGATCAGAGAGAAGAGAGGTCACTGGAGAAATCAGTGACTGTTTATACATTATCAATGATAAAAATACATTGCTCGTTTGAGCAACTGTTAGAAATTCAAAATTCAAACCAAGAAATTCAGTGTCTGGGAACAAAGGCCATGAGCAACAGAGTATTTAGTTAAAAGCTGACAAAGATAAACAGGAGTCTGGTCATGTAAAGTTCTGTATGTCAGCAGAAGAACTTTGAAATTGATTCTAAACTCCGCTGGGAGACAGTATAGTGAATATTCTGTGGAACCGGAGTGATATGACAGTATTTGTCAAGTCAAGTTATTCAATCAACCTTTATTTATACAGGTAAGTTCACATTGGGCCTCAGGAACTCATTTACAAGAGAGACCTGTTACATACAACATTCAGAGTAGATGAGGAAAAGAGTACACTGTAAAAGATGCAAAAAAGACCTTGCAACATAAACAGCAACATACATTGACATCATAATACATGTATGCATAGAAGGTCAAAAAAGGCGGTGAGTTGTCTATGAACACTCAAGAAAGTTTCAAAGTTCTCATATGATGGTACAGTGTCTATCAGCAACACAATTCTGATAAGGTCCACAGATGTCCTTGGGGCATGGGGGCAGAGCAGAGCTTCTATTTTATGTATCCTCCAGGAGCAATTTGAGATAAGTTGGCCTATCCAAGGCCAGTGGGGAGACCACATTCAGATAAACAATAGTTGTTTTGGGCAGGCCGACTCTACTGACATGTCTGACTTCAGTTCTGCTTGTACACTTAATGGTGAATCCTAACAGCCAGATTGGTGGACATTCCGCCGGTCCGTGCTTGTTATCCTTCTCCAAGGTTGAATCCTTCATGCCCGCGAGTCCTAGGAGCTGCAAGTGGCCCACACATCTCAGAAATCATGTCCAACTTATGGTTCAGCTTGCAAAGTACAATAGTCTGAGAGCTCGAAGCACGGAGTAATCCTTCGCACAAGGCGTGGCAGCTGTGGCTGAGTGGTTAGAGAAGTCATCCTCTAATGCAAGAGTTGGGGGTTTGAATCCACCAACAGTCACATGCCAAAGTGTCCCTGGGCAGGACACTGAACCCATCTTTACCACCGATGTGTGTCCCATTCGTGTATGAATTGTGGGATTCCTGGTTTCCCTCTGTCTGTTTGTGTCTGTTTGTGTCT